CTTTTATTTTCTTAATATGGTATCAAAGCAATTAGCTTTCCTACTGCCACAACTCTATTACTTTCTTCTTCTTTAATAATCAACTCTGGAATGAACAGATCTGATAGCTTTCCTCTTTTTCTCTTGCTGCTGGAATTCTGGTTGCCCATGCTCCATAGCTCCGATTCATAGCATCCATGAATGAAATGTTATTGGAAGACTGTTGATAATGGAGATCTGAAGTCAGATCATCCGCCGGTATGTTTGCCATTGGGAACTTCATTCAGATCTGAATTTTACTCAGTTTCAACAACTGATGTCCATTCCAGCTGCTCCTGNAGCTGCTCCTGAGTTTATAATCTCTAAGCCTCCAGTTTCGATTCCTGCATGTGCAGCAAGAAAGGAGGATGTACTCAGTCATCTCCATCAATGTGTTTTTCCACAATTGATGATGTTTTTATGTAGTTCGAATTCCTGCAATTATAATGGCAGACTTCCGATTTCTATATCTCTGTTCTCTTCTCCAAGTTCAACCAGCCCCTTCTCCAACTCAGCACAGCGATCACGTTTCCAACATGCTCTCAGCTCACACGTTCAGCAGCTCACCTTCCAGATTCCAGTCTCTTCTAGTTCCTTCTTCTGCTAGATAGTTTGTTAGATTTAATCTATAAATAGTCTATTGTAATTCACTTTATACTTGAGCTCTGATGAAATGAAATAATTATTCTCCATTTAGTTTATTCATCAAGTTCCTTCAATATAATTTCTATATTGAATCTATCCTTTTATTTTCTTAATATAAACTGCCGCGGTCGAGCATGGCTCAGCTTCGGTTAAAATGTAGATGGAGACGTAATATGAAGTACAATGTATCTTGGTGAATCATGAATGTTGGTGCTTGAACAATCTAATTACTTGAAGGTTTTATCGTATATACGAGGATACACAAAAAAGTCAAAAAAAATAAAAAAAAAACCACATCAAAGATCGTGTACTAACATCAACTTGCGACCAACTTGACCCCAATATACATTTAAACCTCAAGGAGATTTATAAACAAAGAAATGATGTGAGGTTTCAGAATATTTTCCAGTTGAGTGTATCTATCTTCATTTTTCTAAGTGACTTCTATGCTACTTTCGAAACTGAGAATTCTCATTTCTCTTGAAGAGAAAGTTGGTCCGAGACTCTCTTTGTTAATGTCCTTCCGTGATTCTGAAGCAATTTCAAAAAAAATTATTGAGTGCCTCTTATTTGGCCGTGCCAATTTCTTTCTTGTAGCTTTCAGTGCCAATAACAATTTGGCACATTTCTCTCTCGACCTTCAAGGCCAATATATAACGAGACAATTAAAAAAGCATTAAGAAAATCAAGTGAATTTTGCGTATTTTCATAATCGGTTCAAAATACACTTTCAATCTTATTACAAAAGTTAAGATAAACTACAATAAAATTAAGAATATTTATCAAATATAATGTTCTTCTTTATTTACCAATAGTGGACCATAAATTTTAGAGCGAATTATAGATCAAATCATTAGGTGCTTAGAGACTTAAACACTCGATTTATCATATCAAAAAGATCGAGAAACAAATGTAAGCTCACAATAATACAATCAACTTATTGAAAAAAAACATTATTTTATTTCAAATGTTGCAAATACAAATAAATTTACTCGATAGGTAAATAGCATCCAACAGGTATAACACGGACAATAAGAGAGAACATCACATTTCATCCAAATCTGTTAAAACTATTATCAAAATCCTTCTTAAACAAACCCCTAATTAAATTTATATAACAAGCCCATTTAAATTGGATCATTTTCTTATCAAATACGATGAACGAGTAAATTTTTCATAAGAAAGTAACGGTGAGACCTGATCTCCTCGTTCTATCCCTCCTTGGGGCGAAGCTCAATACCTTCAATAATAAGGCCACTCTTCCATTCAAGCTTCTCGGTCTCTCGGAGTTGCATCTGAATATCACCACCATCTCCGTTATCATTGAAATATTCTCCCAATTCAATCTCCATCCACCCATCCCTTCTCTCTTTCGCGAGTCGACTATCAATATTTCTTACGCCCAATTGTCTTAATTTTTCACGAGTTGGTCGTTTTAGATATACTATGTTGTTCTCGCCGCTCTGTTGAACAAGTTTAACAGATGCCTTCGAGGGCTCGTCGAGCCCAAAAGAATTCCGATGGATTTTGAATACGAGATATGCTGCATAATTAGTCGTCAAAGACAGCATTCGAGTTTGCATTATCCCAGTAATTTCAAGCCAGCAAACACTCAATAGTTCTGCTACCTCAGCAAACCTACACAACAAAGTCTATGTAATGACAGATTGTAATTGTTGGAGTTCAAGAAAAGCAAAAGAGTTTGTAGAATTCAACAAAGGTATAATTTCTATCACAGTTTCTATCCAAAGCAGATCATTGGTGAGAATTGAAATTTTTTTAAATTCCATTGTGCATGATTAAGTAAATTTCCAACAATATATAAATAGAGGAAAATATATAAACCTTGATTCTGTAAGAGTCTTCCA